TTAATTCGGTACACATTCTCGAGCTGGTTACTTTTGAAAAAGGAATATTGTAGTGCACAAACAGTGAATGTAGGTAAGAATGACCCCGGAAGAAATGACCCCAGAAAAAATGGCCCCGGAAAAAATGGCCCCGGAAAAAACGGCCCCGGTAAAAATGGCCCCATATGGCAGGTAGGTAAAAATGGCCCCAATGAAAAATTCGGTAATAGAAATGATATATTTTTTTTTTTAATCTTCAAATATTTAAATACTGTATAAGCAAGAATTGAATCAAGAAATAAAAAATGGCCCTCAATTGTAAAATTCAAGAAAAAAAAAATTAATAATAAATAAATAAATAAATGCTGTAAAATACCCTGTAGCAAAAATTTAATTAATAATCAACATAAACAATATGCATATTTGAGAACTAAAATAAATTAGTTTTTGTTACAATGCTGTAACTTACAAAGCAACTTTTAAAAAATAGTAACATTGCATGCGTTAAAAAATATGCTGTTAAATTAGTATTAGAAACTTTTTAGTAGGAATACATATATACAGTACAGTAAAATGTACAATAGTCAGCGAGTTCGTCAAACAAGGTATAAAAAATTCTCGCCTTGGGTAGCATCTTTTTAAAGAAAATCATTAATTTCATTAAAAAAACACAAGTTACTGATTGATTAAATAATTCTATTTTAAATAAGAAAGTGCACAATAAATGTAGCATAGGACAACATTTAAAAGATTATTATATTAGTGCTACTGAAACTGTTAATTATTTCAAGGTTTTATCTAAGTGCAAATCCAAGTTTGATTGATTAAAGAAATGCTTCAAATGAAATGAAATCAAAGAACTGAAACCTACACTTAACAAACAAACTGATTCAGTCAAAGCCAAACTGTTTATCTAGTTAATCTGCTAAGAAGGGCTAATTATTGCTTAGCTCCACTGTGGCTCCACACACAGTAGGCCCTATTGATATGTAAATTAATTACTTACTTCCTGTCACTGCTTGGTATTTTTGTTTTTAGTTTTTTCAATTTACTTGTTCTTGAGAATGGTTCCATGATGGACCCGAAACGTCGATCTTTCTTGTCATTAAATTTTGTTTTGAGATTATGTTCTTAATTGATTTAATAGATAAAAGCCACAAATAATAATTTGATTTACTAAATTTCATTATGTAAAAATATTTATGCTTTAACATAGATTAAAAATATGTTACGCCTTACTTATTTTTAATCTATGGTCTTTTTAATTAATTTTCTTTTTTTTTTATTGGAAATTCCGTAGTGCATAGTAAATTTATCAAAACCCATTAGGTTTACAGTAATATGAAAAAAAAAATTAGTTTATACAGAAATAGTATCTAAAATGATCTCAATTTCCAAAGTTAAAGCAAAAGATCTAATCTAAACACACAATATTAGGCAGGATGTATTTGTTTGGAAAAGAACCTACTCTTTTGTTAAATTAATTTAGAAATAAGTTTTATTTTTTCCTTTGAACTGAGATCAATATGTGATTTTTTTTAAATTTCTTTAAAAGCATTTGTTTTTTAACAATTACAGCAGATGCAAATAATGTTCTGAGAGATAATCAAAAAACAATGGCCATTGAATAACATTTTTTTGATAGTAGAAATAAAAGTTTTAAAAACGTTATTTAACTAACCAAGTAGAGGAATGACATAGAGTATACAATATCATGAATTAACTTTACATGTTATAAACAATGCAAATAAACAGTAGTTAATGCATGTGGATCAATTGTGGGTTTGAATCACAAGTTCACGTATGGGAAAAGGGAGAGGCTTACTTTCTCGCAAACTTAGCAATAAATTGTCTGCTTAGAGTTTATTCAAAGAAGTATTGCTTTTAGTAAACTGAATAATTAGGAATACATTTATTTAAGCAACTAATTTAGTTGCATACTTGGTTTTTACTCATCACTAACTAAATCCAAGAGCTTACTACTGGCTTAGAATTATGTATAATTATGCTAAGAATTAAAATGGCGTGTGATTGTGAGGGTAGGGTGATTATGGTAGGATTAAGTGGTATTGCTAAATCCCACAAACCTCCCAAAACATACTTTAGAAAATCAAACAATTCAATTGTGATTGACTGACTTGGTATATCAATAAGAAAATTAAATACATTCATAACTATTTTTTGGTTAAAATTTAGATTTTTTTTTAATGAAAAAATACTTGCAAATACACCACAAACTTCTAAACACACTGCAAACCCAATCTAAACCATATAATTATGATTGTAGAATTCTCTTTTGAATATGAATAATTTGATGTTCATACTAACCCACTGTTTGTGGGGTTTACCAATACACAGATTGAATTTCTAGAAAATTGTGATTCCTCTACCGTGAAATCGGCCACAAGTAAATTATTTTAGTATTAATAAATGCATGATTTATGTTGATTTATTGATTATGTTGTTGGTATTTTTTAACATTTAAATGGAAAAAATAAATAAAAAGTGTAATTCATTGCTTTTTATTTATCTTTGAATATTTTATCATTGAATATTAATTCTTGCAAAAAGTAAAATGTAAATAGCAATTTGTTTGATGAGATTCCTTTTAAAAACTAAATTATTTAAGATAAAAAAATGCATATATTGACTAAAAAAAAAATCAGTTTTAATACAGAATTTGATTATTGGGGCCATTTTTACCTACCTGTCATTTGGGGCCATTTTTACCGGGGCCATGTTTTCCGGGGCTATTTTTTCCGGGGCCATTCTTACCGTACACCACAAAGAGTAATGATCAAGTTAGCATGAGTGAACCTACCTTTCTCACAGACCGCTCTTGTTTGATTGCTTTCACAAGGGCCGTCGGACCAGGAGACAGAAGTTGGGTAAAATTGTGTACATTTTCCTTCCCCGTCTAAACGATAAAATAACACAATTAAAGGAGTCGTAGTGTATATCATATAGGTATGCATTGTCTAATAAATGTGACACCCACCCTGACAGCAAGAAGTTGCAAGTTCGGATCCTGCTAGAGACACTTTTCTTCATACAACTGAATTAATGAGGAACATTTCGTTGAAGGGCTATGCTTGATACGATTATAACATTTTCTTCCTATTTAAGCGCTATATTTATCCAGTTGTTTATATTGTATTTAAGGCGCTACACAACAACCTTAAAATTCCTTAATTTCTTGTTATTTATGACTAATTCATTTGTTATTTAAGCCGGGCACTCACTGCGTCGTACGACATCGTACGACGGTCATACGACGATCCAACTATGCTTCCTGTGAACGCTAGACGACGAGACGTCGTCTGCTGACTGTCTGTGGAAGTCTGACTGATCGTCATAAAAAGACAATCCCATTATGCGCGCGTCGTGGCGTTGCCTTCTTTACAGACAGTCGGGCGCAGTGAGTACACGAGTTTACCACTGATCTCTACTATAACAACTGGATTGACAATTAGCTGGTTTTTAGTGAAGTCACCGACGCCATGCTGGAGAATCCAAAATGCGACAATACGTCATCACAGTGCTAATTTTGAATCGGAGTGACGATCATCAACAATGAACACGTTTTTGTTTTACTGCACAGACAGTCGTGTTGAGTGGTTAGAGTATGTGAAAACAAAATAATTTCTTATCTTTAAATTTATATACGTCATTTGGGCTTCTTAACATGGCGCCGGTGGCTTTATTTATATTCTGTACAATGATTGTATGATGAACAATCCAGCTATTATAAGAAAGCTCAGTGGAGGAAAGCTACTGTCATCTTGGTAAAAACCAAGTCAAAGTTTAAATCTAAAAGGAAACTCCAAATTCTAACCTTGTGTCCAGTTCCAGTCCCCAATCCAACAGTATTCATGGGATATGTTGCTTGATTGTGACGACACAAAATCTTTTTCCTCTCGTGATGTAATTGATACCAATTTTGCACTTTCTTTTTGACAAAACGAGTTTGCATCATCGCAATTAATTGCATTTTCACCAAACAAATAGCATGTTTCTTTGAATTGCTTCCAGCCATACGGACATTGCTCTTTAAATAAATGGGCAAATACGTATAAAGAATCCAAACATAGTTTATTTATTTGCTTGAAGCTGAAATTTTATACGAGCACATTCGACCATAGGTCGTCATCTAGATGTGTATAAGAGACAATATAATAGGTATGTGCAAGTAAAATAATAATGGATATATAATTTTTTCAATATAATTAATACCAAACGTAACAGAAGAGGGATTTTGACTGCGAAAGAAAAACCTATTCAGTAAACAAATTAACTTTTGTCTATGATTTTGTTTTTTTGTTTAATAATTTGAAACACTGCTGGTACTGGTACTAGGTATTTATATTCTCAGAGGTAACGGGATGGTGTCTGGCGGGGCATAGTTTTACCATTGTGTAGTTTAGTTTTGTATAGTTAGGTTAAAAATTGTAATACCGGCCCTGAAACCTTCACTCAGAAGTACCGAGATGGTGTCCGGCGGGGGATAGTTTTTACCATTGTTTAGTTCGGTTTGTAGTCATGATTGAAGTTGTAATCCCGGCACCGAAACTTTGACTCAGAAATGCCGGGATGTTGTCCGGCGGGGGGGGGGGGGGAGTGGGGGGGTAGTTTTTACCATATTGTAGTTAAGTTATGTAGTTAAGCTTAACCTTAGCAGCAATACCTGGCCCCAAGACCTTGACTTAGAAGTACCGGGTTGGTGTGCGGCGGGGGATAGTTTTCCACTAAAGTTTTTACTATTCTTATTTTATTGTATTGTGCTGGTTACATTTTGTTCTTTTGCAATACCATAATGTAAAACAGCGGTGAGATCTCACTTGTATATGTTATCCTGCCTAAAGATGTTTTAAATAAAATAAAATAAAAATATTGCGCCTTTCCCTTGCGGTTATTAAGCGCAAGCCAAGCCTCAATAATTCAGGAAAACAATGGTAAGCATAAAATCAGTCATTATTCAGGAACCCAATGCATCGCAATAGTACAGTCACAAACAACAAAGACAAAAATATATGCAAATTATAACAATAAAACACAAAAGGAAAGAGCAGCAAAAGAATGGCACGTTTAAAATTATCATGTTCAAAGAGTTGTTTTTGTCATAAACACAATGGTAAGAGGTTTATCTTTTAAATGTCCTACTCACCTCTAAATATAACCAGTAATGGACTTGGTAATCCAATGACTTCACTGTTTCTTTTATTATAGAGCATTTTGATTTGCAAAACCAGAGTAGTATAGTATGGAATATCTGGGATGAGTATTCCTTCAGAAGGCTCTCCATTAAATGTGTCATTGCTGATATTCCAGGCTGCCACTGCATCCCACCATTCAACAACGTAACCAGTTACACATCCAATGCCATCATCACGATTGAATTCCCACTCGGTCCAGTTGATGTTGATACCAAGTGAACTACGTGAAATATTAGTTGGTGGATTTTGCAGAACCGGCGGGTCTATTAAATACAAGAATATAAAAATAATATTATTTGATATGATTTAAATTACTACACGATGCATCCCACCATTCAACAACGTAAGCAGTTACACATCCAATGCCATTATCACGATTGAATTCCCACTCGGTCCAGTTGTCGTTGATACCAAGTGAACTACCGTACTCGCGCGAATAAGCGCCCGGGCGCTTAAAATATTTTTTTGCACTTTTGAGGGGCGCTTATTCGAACGGGGCGCTTATAAAACAGAGTGAAAATTGAGGGGGCGCTTATGGAAATAGATGAAAATCGAGGGGTTCTTATGAGAACTTATCAAATCCGAGAGGCACATTTTGAATGAAAAATGATTAAATAAGGACATCAGGAAACCGCAAATTACTAATGGTGCTGCGACGGAAAAGATAATCGTCCAGAGAGCATGGCTTGTCATGACAAGAAGGTTGTGAGTACAGTATTACATAACAGCAGAATAGCATATGAAATTAGTGGTGGTGGTTAGCTTGTTCGCCATCGGTCGATTGAGAATAGCAGGACGGCATGATCATTGCCGGTTTTCTGGAAAACTTAGATGAGAATGTGTTAAAGGTGCAAATTGTCGGAAAAGGAGTATACATAGGAGCACATACAAAACAGTCTATTGCAGCATAAGCTGAATTGAAAGACTGAAAAATTATTACAAGAAATTATGTAGGACTAGGCTATAGACAAATGAAAGAAGATGAAAGTTGGAAATATACTGTCTGTCCAGGGAGCTCTCATCATTCTGTCAAAGATAAATATCCTCACTTTGATATTGACTAAAGGAGAATGTGATTCCACTCAACATCTCAAATATTGCCAACATCCACAGTCCAAGGATTGATTGGGTTATTGAGGGGGCGTTTATTCAAATATATATTCAAACGGGGCGCTTATTCGCGCGAGTACGGTACGTGAAATAAAAGACGGTGGATTTTGCAGAACCGGCGGGTCTATTAAATACAAGAATATAAAAATAATATTATTTCATATGATCTAAATTACTACATGATGGTTAATTAATACTCGTCTTTTACTCCAGGCCATTTTTCACTCGACATAACGGGCGTTGAAAATATTCGGTACTAGGGGAGTTGTGTTTTATTTGCGATTCATTAGGCCTAACTGTGATCTGCATAGCCTAGTGTTAGTCCAAGGACATTAATTTTTATTCATCTCCGATAAAACAATATACCAGTTAAAACAAAACAATACATAATGATTTGTCTAACTCAAATACGGTACGTTTACTTTAAAAAAAAAAATAGAATAAATAAATACGATTATGATCTAATTATATTTAATACGTAATATGTGTTGTATACAGATGGCCTAATAATGATCGTATTATGCCTGCAGGATGACGTACAATACTTACATATCTGATAGAATGCCAGCGGACTGGGTTTTCCAACAAATAATACACCGACGACGTCAGTAAGAACCTTTACTGTGAAACTGTATTCCGTGTTGTAGTTCATATCTGCGCATGATATGTTCGTTTCGGTGCCTATGGTAACATTTAGAACAACTACATCGCTGGTATCAGTAGTTGGCCAAAATTTCAACTGATAACTGTTCACGGTTCCACAGCCATAGTCCTTGTAAAAATTCCAGATCGACCAACTGATAGTGACATAATTCGCAAACATTTTGACAAGTGGAGCATTGCTTAGAGCTGGAAGATCTAGAAAATAATAGTTGATTTTAATAATACATAATTCTAAGAATTAACAAAATCCATATCTTGCTTTTTCAATTTGTAGTAATGTAGTAATGTAGTACAAGTAACAAGTAATGTAACAATAAAATACATTTATTATAACAACTTTCAATAACAATAATAATATTTATGATAATGAATGACGATCACAATGATGGTGACATACAGTAAAATAATAATAATTATATTAAGAATAACATATTTCATCTTACTGTGTCCACTGTGTAGTGGTGGTTGAATTGGCACTAACCAGGTGGCGACGAGGACGCTTTCACGCTGACCCCACAATATTATTAATCATAATTCAATATTGATTGAATATTAGTATATATTGTATTTAAAGTTGATTGTTGTTGATCTGAGTTAAAGAAATGTTTTGGCGAGGTAGTATAAAAAATTAAAAATATGTATATAAATAATGATCAGTGGCGTAGATAGGGGGGTCAAGGGTGGATGTGCCCCGGGCGCCAGGTTTGGGGGTAGGGGCCCTGAAATAGGAGAATGAGAGTAAAAGAAATAACCACATTTTAGAAAAGCATGACGAAATTGATGTATGTCGTCGGGCATGAATATTTTCCAGTTAATAATAAAAATATGAATGTAGTTGTTTTATTGACAAATTTATAGATTGTGATTTCTTTTCAGTTCATTTCGACCGTTTTCTCTTATTTTTCTTATCCTATTCTGTATTTTGACTATATGGCTAAAGCTCATCCTACCATATCTCAGAGCCACGATGGGACAAGAAACTATCTGCTTTGGCACTCCTTAGTATTGAGCGAGATGAAGCAGACAAAATTGCTAACTTAGATGATGTTATTAACTCATTTGCAGATGCAAAAGCACGCAAAATTCAGTTGCAAGTTTGAACAATGTTACAAATTCAACAACTTACAAGACAATAAGAATACTAAGCTGTATGCGATCAACAGCCTTACAAAGTTGTATACAAAGTTCCGAACATCGTAATGCAGTTAGTAAGAAACAGGGGTGGAGTGACCGGGGGTGGGGTTTCAGCCCCTTCAGGGATAGCTCCGCCCTACCCCCAGTCGGGGAGAAAAACCATAATTCGTAGGGGACAAAAACTACAATTGGTCGGGGAAAAAAACCATAATTCGTAGGGAAGAAAACAAAAATAATAATACACGAGGCGCTTAACAACAACAAAGAAGAAAACCAAAAACCAAATGCAAAATGTATCAACAAAAAAAAATTATTATCACATATTTGGTTTAAGTTTAGTTGAATTAAGTTCAAATGATTGGTTTGATGATTATAAATAAATGTTGCTATTACAATTGCTTTGGTAATTGGAATAAAAAAATATATGCATTTTGTACATCTTGGTAGACTCTAAAATCTATTAAACAAGCCTTTGAAACCCATAAATTCTCGGAAATTTTCGGGGGCCTCGCCCCCTAGACCACCTTCGGAACATTTTAAGCTACGCTCGACCACGCCCACTTTGCTCTCGTCATGGAAATCTTCCCCCTCGTTGGGGCATCGATCCTTCTTCCCCACCCCCGCCGGGCAAATCTTGACGCCAAACCTCGTAAGAAAGAACCAACTATATGAGAGCTTGAAAAGTGCTTATTTTTATATTATAGTTATAATTGGGGGAATGTGAACGCAATTATCTACACTTGCCCCCGGGCGCCAAAACCTCTAGCTACGCCACTGATAATTATCTATATAAATAAAATGTAAGGATCTTAAAGGACGGTGTTATACCAGGAAATCAAGAAGATATACGTCCTTGGTGTTTTAATACTTACATATCTGAACTGCCGGTGGACTAGGTTTTCCAACCACTAACACACCCTCAACATCAGTAACAACCTTTACAGTGAAACTATATTCTGTGTTATTGTTCATTTGTGCCCGCGATATGTTCATTTTCGTGTCCATTGTGGTATTTAA